GCCTGGCATGATGGCTCATGCCTGTAATCCCAGCTACTCAGGAGGCTGAGGCAGGAGAATTGCCTGAACCCAGGAGGCAGAGGTTGCGGTGAGCCGAGATCCCGCCATTGCACTCCAGCCTGGGTAACAAGAGTGAAACTCCGTCTCAAAAAAAAAAAAAAAGTTATAATATGTGTTGGATTTCTTTTTTTTTTTTTTTGAGACAGAGTCTCACTCTGTCCCCCAGGCTGAACTACGATGGGACAATCTCAGCTCACTGCAACCTCCAACTCCCAGGTTCAAGTGATTCTCCTGCTTCAGCCTCCAAAGTAGCTGAGATTACAGGCGCTCACCTGTGCCTGGCTAATTTTTGTAGAGACAGGGTTTCATCATGTTGGCCAGTCTTGAACTCCTGACCTCAAGTGATACCCTGCCTCGGCTTCCCAAAGTGCTGGGATTACAGGTGTGAGCCACTGTACCTGGCTGGATTTCTCTTTTTTTAAATTAAAAAAAAAAAAGATATATCAACCAATGGAACAAGAAAGTTGGAAAGTGAACCCATACATTTATGATCCATTAATTTTTTTTTTTTTTTTTAAGACAGAGTCTCACTCATCACCCAGGCTGGATTGCAGTGGGACAGTCTTGGCTCACTGCAACCTCTGCCTCCCGGTTTAAGCGATTCTTGTGCCTTAGCCTCCCAAGTAACTGGGACTGTAGGTTTGTGCCACCAAACTAATTATTATTATTTTTAAGCATAGACAAGGTTTCACCATGTTGGCCACACTGGTCTTGAATTCTTTGATCTCAAGTGACCTGCCTGCCTTGGCCTCCCAAAGTGCCGGGATTACAGGCGTGAGCCACTATGCCTGGCCCATTGATTTTGTTTGTTTTTGTGGGTTTTTTGTTTTTTCTTTTTGAGACAGGGTCTCACTCTGTCACTCAGGCTTGAGTGCAGTGGCTCAGTCTTGGCTCACTGCAGCCTCCACCTCCCAGGCTTAAGTGATCTTCCCACCTCAGTCTCCTGAGTAGCTGGGACCACAGGAGCACACCAAACATTCCATTAATTTTTGTATTTTTAGTAGATTAATTTTTGTATTTTACCCAGGCTGGTCTCGAACTCCTGACCTCAGACCTCAAGGTATCTGCCTGCCTCAGCCTCCTAAAGGGCTGGGATTGCAGGCATGAGCCACCGTGCCTGGCCATGTGTTGGACTTCTATAAAAGCAACCTTAGTCTAAATGTGTTAGAGGTCCTTGCAATTTAACTAAGAATAAATTAATATATTAATATTATATTAATATAATATAAATGCTGGGAATACAGGCATGAGCTACTGTGCCCAACCTGAGCCATTGTGCTCAGCCTGAGCCACCATACCACGCCTTCCATTTTTATTTTACTTTATTTCATTTTTGAGCTGGAGTCTTGCTCTGTTGCCCAGGCTGGAGTGCAGTGGCATGATCTCGGCTCATTGCTGCAGCCTCTGCCTCCTGGGTTCCAGCAGTTCTTCAGCCTCAACCTCCCGAGTAGCTGGGATTATAGGTGCATGCCACCACACCTGGCTAATTTTCGTATTTTCTTTTTAGAGACGGGGTTTTACCATGTTGACCAGGCTGGT